AGCAGCAGCATGGCCCCCCTCCAGTTCCCCACACCCCAACCCTCTGCCCCAGCCCTGATCCCCCTCCTGCCCTCCGAACCCCTCAGTCCCAGCCTGGAGCACCTTCCTACACCCCAACTCCTCATCCTCAGCCCCACCCCAGAGCCTGGACCCCCAGCCGGAGCCTCCTCCCACACCCTGAACTCCTCATTTCTGGCTCCATTCCAGAGCCCGCACCCCATCCCCAATTTTGTGAGCTTTCATGGCCCACCCCTGATGTAGGCAGATGCTTGTGCCTGTACAGAGTATCACTTGTGGTCAATGAAGCACTGCGTAGGCATAAAACTCACTGAAGAACTCGGACCTAAGGCCCCAATCTTGCAAACACACATATACGTATGTAAGAAGGGCCAATGGTCCAGTGTCCAGTCTTCCAACAGTGGTAGATGCCTGGTACTTCAGAGGGAATGAACAGAACAAGCAATCATCAAGTGATCCATTCCCTGTCATCCACTCCCAGCTTCTGACAATCAGAAGTGCTTCACTGGACAAGTATTTGCAAAATCACAACCTGAATTAAGTTTTTACTCCTTTTACTAACTTTATTTCAGTTAGCACTCCAAATCCAGTTCAACTCGGAAAGAGAGAGCTGATTCTAACCTAGAATGTGTGCCAACAACAGACTGTTTCAAGACTCTTTGTGGGCAGCACATGACCAAGTTCCCAAGAAATATTTATAGGGCTGGCAGGTAGGAAAGAATCTTTACTTAGAACTGAGCAAATCTGATATGGAATCAGTGAGAAACAAACATGGAACATCACAATGCTTCTTTTTTTTGTTTTTTAAGTCATTTTTCAGACTAAAACAACATTTTAAATCTCAAGAGATAAAGTTATTATCAAAAGTGCATTTACTAAAACATCCTGGTAAAAGGAGATTTCGCCAATTACAGAAGTAAGTTTCAGACAGAATCCTGGTAGAGTCATAACAGTATTACAAGTTTATAATTACAACAGACAAGCTTAAGACGTTTGCTCATAGTTTTGAGGAATATCAACCATAATGTTTCAGAACTTAATACGATCACATTTAAGATCAGATGTGGATGCTCAAGAACTACACAATTAAAATCAACCTTGTAAGTTTCTGTTTGCACACCTACCTGGACAGAACTATTATTTTGACATGTGAGAAAATCCCCACCACCACCACCATTATACCGGACAATAATATTAATTTCAAGCATCACTTCTCCATCTGAAAATTTTGTACCTACTATTGTTACCAATAATCCCTAAAATTATTGTAACAAAGAAACTGAAAAAAAGAAAATATTTTCTCTAGTTTGTTTGGCTTGTGCATTTGACATAACTTTGTGTCTAGTGAGTTTCACCATTTGTTGATAGTGGATGCCATTATCCAGCCACTGCAAGAGTGTTTACAAGTAATCACTGCAAGGAAGCTGAAACTGAAAGTAAATAGATAGCTATGCATCAAGAAGGAGGGGAACAAGAGCCCAACAACATTTATTATTGTTATTACTCTCAGGCCCAGCCAAAAAATCTTTCTAAACATGGGGTGGGGGGCGAGAGTGAATGTTTTAATGATTTTGTTTTTAATTAAGGGAAAGCTGTTTAGAGGGCACTATTTTTTTAGTCAGTTAAAGCTACCAGAGTCCCATCATCATGGTAAATTTAAGCAGATTCTGTTAAGGCTGATGCATTTTCATGACCATTTTTACAAGGCTGAATTGAACACGTCCATCTCGAGTTTCCCTTTTTGCAGGCTAACCCCACTTTCTACCAAACTTTGTTATTGAACCTTCACCTGCCCCATCCCACCCAATAGCTCAACTATACAGCAACAACTTGAGGAAAAGCTGTCAGCATGCACAGACTGTACATACTGTATACAGCCACTTACTCCTGGGGGAATTCTGCACCACTGTGCAGTGCAGAATTTGTGCACAAATCAATGCTCTGTGCAGAATTTCCTTTTTCCCCTGCAGAATTGGCATTGCATAGCTGCTGGCCACCAGTAGGGGCTGCTGGACCAGGCAGATCCCAGCTCGCAAACAGCAGACACTGCTGAAGGGGGAGCCAGAGGGTTCCAGGCACTCCCTGAAGGAAGGAAGTGGTGTGCAGGAAACAAGCCTCGAATCCAGCAAAAGGCTGTTTCTCCATCTGTATCCCTGAGTAAGAGTGTCTGGGCTGGGGTGCGCAGCTGGGCTCTGGGGGAAGGTGGTACGGGTGTCTGGGCTGGGGGGTGGGGGGGGGCACCTCCCAGCTGGGCCAACATAAGAACGGCCATACTGGATCAGACTAAGGGTCCATCCAGCCCAGTATCCTTTCTGCCCAGGTTCCCCAGAGGGAGTGAACCTAACTAGCAATGATCAAGTGATCTCTCTCCTGCCGTCCATCTCCACCCTCTGACAAACAGAGGCTAGGGACACCATTCCTTATCCATCCTGGCTAATAGCCATTAATGGACTTAACCTCCATGAATTTATCTAGTTCTCTTTTAAACCTCCTATAGTCCTAGCCTTCACAACCTCCTCAGACAAGGATTTCCACAGGTTGACTGTGCGCTGTGTGAAGAACTACTTCCTTTTATTTGTTTTAAATGTGCTGCCCATTAATTTCATTTGGTGACCCCTAGTTCTTATATTAGGCTATGTTTAATGTGTGCCAGAGCTGAGTCCTGGCATCTCTAGGCTTGGCGGTTCATAGCCCTGCACTTCTGGGCTTACTGCATCAGTTATGAAAGTAAAAAAAAATTGTTTGAGCCCCTCTTTCATTACAAATGAAGCACTGGGGAGGGTGTGTGGGGTCCCCCCCCAAGTTGGGCTCTGGGGGAGAGAGGGCACAGAAACAGGAACTGGGTTGGCATAGAGGTTTCGTTAACTCTCTATTCCTAGGGGAATTTTGTCATCTGTATTGTTACAGGTATTTTGAAATAAATTACCAAAACAATTGAAACCAGCATGATTATACAGTGTCATTCTGACAAATGAAATAGGCAGATTTTAAAATATTGTGCACGGATTTTTTTTGATTGGGGGGGGGGGTTGGCACAGAATTCCCCCAGGAATAAGAGCCACGTGCACTAACACACAACTAGTGACAGAAGGGAGACGGGGGAAAGGGAGCTGAAAGGAGCGGACGAGGGTCATCCAGCGACGAGGGGAGAAAGGAACCCGCTGACACCTCCAGGCCCTAGTGTTGCCCCCCGGCCCCCTACCCCACACGGCCATCTCCAGACCCCAAGTCTCCATCCACCCGCTGCAGCCCCCCGCCCCGGTGTGTAGGCTCCCCCGCCCCAAACCCAGGTGGGTACAGAGAGACTCCGCTCCCTTCCCCAGCCCCTCAGAGCTCCCAGCCCCAAGCACCGGGGCGGGGGGGCTCCGCGGCAAGCAGCCCACGCCAACGCCGGTACCTGTGCGGGATGCGGCCAGGCTCCTCATGCCCAGCCCGGCCGGGCCCCTCGGTTCCGCTCCCCTGCCGACCCTCCGCCGAAACCCCCTCAGGCAGCGATGGCTGAGGGGGGACGACAGGAAACCGGAAGCGCCACTCAACACTAACGCAAGGACCCCGGGGTTTCCCACCCCGCCTGAGTGGCGGGAAGGAGCCACAGCACAGGGGTGGGGTCCGGGGGCTACACACACGGAGACTTCTCTCTCCTGAGAGGAACGGACACCTGAGCAGTGCCAAGAAGGAGCGAGTTCAGAGCAGGCACCGCCAGAGTCACCTATAAAAAAAAGGACCGCAGAGTGAGCGACCATCTTGGATTGGGGAGAGAGCGGCCATCTTTGTTTGGGGCAGGGAGCCCCAGTAGCCATTCTTTCAGTGGCAGTGTGCGGCCATCTTTGATTGGGGCAGAGAGGCAAATGTTATCTGGATACCGTTGCAACCATCTTTGATTGGGGCCAGAGGACCCTCTATGCTGCTACCAGATGACACTGGTCAAGCTGAGATGATAATATAAAATAGAAATATTAATAAATGGAATTTACCAGCTCCCTTACTCTTCCTAACTTCCCCATTCCTACTGCTTCTCAGCCTTCCTCTACTCCAAAGTAACAACAAATAAAACAGCAAAGTGTAACTTACAAAACTACCTCATGTTCATTTACTTCTATGCCATAACGCTACCCTCTACCTCTTGTCTGTTCTGTTTCTTTCAGATGTAAGCCCTGATTGTCAATTATGTATGTGCCATGCAATCAGACCTCAAACTACTAATGATAATCATTTAAAAAAGTAAAACTAGAAGGGGAATCTCAATAGATCACACAAATATAATATAATCAATTTTTTTGTTTTGCAAGAGGGTGGTAACTTTTCTACCAAACCGGTACCTTAACGCCATTCTGCAGGCCTTGGTCCCCTCACCTCTGAGTTATTGCATAAGGCTGTCTGCTGACTCAGGCAGACATCACTGTGTCATGCTTAGTTCACAATGTGCAGGTTATCTTTGCCAGCATACAAGCAAGAGGGTTAATTTTTTAAAAAAAGTTTAGTTCCCAAAGTACAACATGGAAGTCTCCCCAAAAATTGCCATTCCACTATAAAGCCTTCCAATTCAACCCCTGACTGGGAAGCCCAAGCTGATCGTTTCTAACTTAGTTCACATGGGTACTAAAGTGCCTAATTTCCATTGATTTCTATGGGAGTTAGGCCCCTCAATACCTTTGAGGATCTGGGCGTGGGCGTTCAGATTAATTTGTCCAAAGGCCCCATGTCAGCCCCCAGCCGCACACCCTCCACCTCCTTCCCACAAGAGAGCCCCGGGCCCCAGAGTCTTGGAGTTTTTACCCTGGCCTCTTATGGGAAGGGCCCAGAAGCAGACTCAGGTAGCATGACCCGATCAAATCGGGACTGCCCCGATATTTAACTCTTTGTTCCGCTATGTAGGGTTGCCAGGCGTCCGGTTGGCGCGGGGCTAGCGGGCTCCCCGCAGCTCCCCACAAGCGGCGACATCGCCCTGCTCTGCCCCCGCCACCCGCACCGGCTCCGCAGCTCCCATTGGTCGGGAACTGTGGCCAATGGGAGCTACGGGGGCGGTGCCTGCGGGCGGAAGCAGCAGCAGCGCGCAGAGCCACCTGGCCTTTCCTCCGCCTAGGACCCGGAGGGAGATTTCTCCGCTTCGGGGGGAGCTGCCCGAGGTAAGTACCGCCCGGCCGGGAGCCCGCACTCCCTCCCGCGCCCAACCATGCTTATCCCAGCCCTGAGCCCTCTCCTTGCAGCGGGGACTGGAGCCGGAGCGGTGCGTCCCCGACCCGTGGCGCTGGGGCGGCGAGGGGAGCGGCGAGGGGTTCTGGGGGAGAGGGGAGAAGAGAGAGGGGCTCGGGGTTCCGGGGGGAAGAGAGAGAGGCTTGGGGTTTCGGGGGGGGGAAGGGGGAAGAGAGAGTGTCTCGGGGTTCCACCGGGAGGGGAGGGGCTCGGAGTTCCAGCCCCGGGGTGGGAGAGGGGGGCTCTGGGTTCCAGCCCGGGAAGGGGGCAAGAGAGAGGGGCTTGAGGTTCCAGTGGGGAGGGCAAGAGAGAGGGGCTTGGGGTTTGAGCCGGGGCAAGAGAGAGGGGTTTGGGGTTTGAGCCGGGGCAAGAGAGAGGGGTTTGGGGTTCCAGCCCACAGAGGGGAGAGAGGGAGGCTTAGGGTTCCAGGCTGGAGGGGGGGGGAAAGAGGGAG